TTTTTCAAATATTTCAAAATTATGTGAATTGGTTTGAGATTATGTAGATGAGAGAAGAAGCAGGCTCTTGCAGCAAAGTGTTAGAAGCCAATATTGTGTTTGTGGATTGCACAGTGAACACCCAAGTGTGCTCTGTAGTTCCCTTGGTCTTGACTCTGTGCTAGAGTAAAGTCTGTTCTTTTCCTCTGCATTGAAAGGAGTACTGTGTCCTTTTAAATGTATTCAGAAAATCAGCACACCATCGTAATTATAGTAAGTATGAGTGGCCCGAGGTGTCCCTCCAGACATTACTGGACTTAGTGGATTTTAGCAGTATCTAGTTGAAGATGCAAGTGTTGGCAGTGGATTTTATAACTGTTTGGGTTATAGGGCCTTCATCCCAGAATAATAACTGAAGGTTTTGAAGCTGCCAAGGAAAAGGCACTCCAGTTTTTGGAACAAGTCAAAGTAAGCAAAGAGATGGACAGAGAAACACTCATCGATGTTGCCAGGACATCTCTGCGGACCAAAGTTCACGCGGAACTTGCAGATGTCTTGACAGAGGTGTGTATTAAACATAGTTGGGCGCCTGTGGTACAGTACATGGGGAAAGCCTATGCACACATAGGCTCTTCACGGGATGCCGTGTAGAAGAAAAGATTCGGGTTTTTCCTATGCAGTGATGATCTAATCTGTCTTTAATGTGGAAAGATGGAATTGTTAACAGGCCAGGCTTAGGAAGGAGAATTGCCACTGTTGAACAAAGTCTCTAGTCATCGTGGTTTGGCTTCCCTGCTCCCCCTGCACATTAAAGGGAACTGGTAGTTTGGTGTGTGTTGCAGTCAGATCAGGCTGATGAGCATTGTTCTCTAATACTTTCTTTGGGGGACTTTGGAACTCATCTGCTAGTTCACAATACAGTCTACATTGTCATAAGGTGTGGTTACACCTTGAGGGATGAGGTGGCTTTAAAATGGGGCTGGGATTGGAGGTCTGTGCCACCATAAAATAGTGCTTGTGTCACAGGTTGGGGTTTTGGACACAATGTTCTTAAGCCTTTTTACACTCTTCTGAACAACTAAAGTGTGTCAACCTCTGCACATTAAATTTATTAATGGTTGTCTCATAGGCTGTGGTGGACTCCATTTTGGCCATTAGGAAGAAAGATGAGCCCATTGACCTCTTCATGGTGGAGATCATGGAGATGAAGCATAAATCGGAAACTGATACAAGGTAGGTAAGAGAAGGGTTTGACATGCTTTCTACCCGTGAGCTGCTCCCCGCCCTGATCAGGTTCATGCTGGATAGGTTACTCAGTATGCCATTTGCTCTAGCTGGCGAACACTGGAAATGAGGGAGAACTGTCCTGTGTTTGTGGTCGTGAAATATGAACATGTATTGATGTGCTTGAGTACAGTGTGTAGAAGGAAAGACTTTGTTCAAAGATAATAGTTTGAAAATAAATTCTTTTAAAGATTTGTTTATTTTATGTATGAGTGCTCTGTCTGTATGTATACCTGCATCAGATCCCAGTACAGATGGTTGTGAGCCACCACGTGGTTCCTGGGAGTTCAGTACTCAGGACCTCTGGAAGAATGGCCGGTATTCTTAACCTCTGAGCCATCTCTCCAGCACTGAAAACATTTCTTTAAAGGAGTAAACGTGATCACAGTTTGATAGCCTGCTGGTTGTAGACATGCACACTTGTTATTATTGTTGGGTGGCCTGTCTTGGGTCTTAGAGCACTCCCTTTTCACATTTGACTTTAGGTTTAACTGAAAAGTTGTTGCATAACTTTAGAAACTAGTGAATGTGTATGAAAATTAGCACTGTAACACTTATTTTATTAGTATGTGTCACTCTCCCATCTGTGCATGTTAATAGAAGTGGGAAATTTTCCTGTTTTATAGCTTAATCAGAGGGCTTGTTTTGGATCACGGGGCACGGCATCCTGACATGAAGAAGAGAGTAGAAAATGCCTACATCCTCACATGCAACGTGTCCTTAGAGTATGAGAAAACGTGAGTCTATGGCCCCTTCAGGGTGGGAGGAAGTTGACATTCATTTTCCGCACTGTGAGGACAGTAATCCAGACATGGGGGCTTGGGTTATGTGGAGCCCACTGGTGCAGCACTTGCTTAGAATGTGTCTAATGCAAGCCCCTTAGGAAACTAAGATGACACGTAAATCTCTCCTTTGCTTTTTTTTTTTAAATAGAGAAGTGAATTCTGGATTTTTTTACAAGAGTGCAGAAGAGAGAGAAAAGCTAGTAAAGGCTGAAAGAAAATTCATTGAAGATAGAGTTAAAAAAATCATAGATCTGAAAAAGAAAGTCTGTGGTGACTCAGATAAAGGATTTGTCGTTATTAATCAAAAGGTAAGAACTTAAAATTAATGAATTAGTCTTATTTATTTTTAAGGTGAAGGCTATTGAAAAATGTTTGTTTTTATTCAGGGGATTGACCCCTTTTCTTTAGATGCCCTTGCAAAAGAAGGCATTGTAGCTCTGCGCAGAGCCAAGAGGAGGAACATGGAAAGGTGAGTGGAGCCAACTTAATACTTTGCGTGCGAGTTAGAGTTTTGCCCTGTGTACTTCTGCATGTTCTTTCATTTTACTAGCATGTGTTAATGGAACAGAGTCATTGGTTTCTTTATTATACAGGCATATGATATGCTTTGATCATTTCACACACATTGATTTTATTTTTAAGACAGTCCAGGTGGCCTCAGAAGTGAAAAGATATGTTTACTTTTGCCATCTGAGTGCTTTGGTTATTACATGTACCACCATGTCATCTGTATTTTTTGTGTGTATGTGTGTCCATGGAGGTCAGTTTAAGGCATTAGAACCCCTAGAACTGGCATTAGGGATGTTCAGTCAACATGTGGGAACTGTGGTCTGAGCCTCGGTCCTAGGTGCTCATTGCTGAGCTCTCTCTTGCCCATTGTTCTTAATGGTTTTAGAGAAAGCCGTTGGAGTTGGAAAAGAGGATATAGGGACCCAGGAGGAACAGCCTGGCATATTTCACTAGCTTGGCATATCTTGTAACATGAAATCAAAGGAAAGCTGTCTGGTGTTCCATTGTATATATGTTGTCCTGTTGGTTGGGCCATGGGTTGCACTCAGATTCTGAGGTTTACACATTTTCTTTTTAGACAGAGTCTCAATGTGAACTCACTACTATTATATAAACCAGCATGGCCTCCGGTTCACAGAGATTAACCTGCCTCTGCCTCCTAAACCCTGGGTTGAAAGGTGTGCATCAGCCAGGCAGTGGTGGCTCATGCCTTTAATCCCAGCACTTGAGAGGCAGAGGCAGGCGGATTTCTGAGTTTGAGGCCAGCCTGGTCTACAGAGTGAGTTCCAGGACAGCCAGGGCTACACAGAGAAACCCTGTCTCGAAAAACCAAAAAAAAAAGAAAAAGAAAAGAAAGGTGTGCATCACCATGCCCAGCCACATAAGTGAGACCCGCTTTCTCTTGTCTAGAGGCCACATCAAGAAAACAGTATGTTGGATGTTGTTGTACACAAACATGTAGTCCCGCCACCATTCGGGGAGCGGAGGCAGGCTATTGGCCTTTGTATATACCTCAACCAAACATTCAATACTAAAAACTAGAAAGAAGTTTCCTAAGAAGTATTCCCCCCACAGAAGCCCATCCATATTCTGGTGGGTTTGGTTTTTTTTTTGTTTTTTTTTTTGTTTTGTTTTGTTTTTCGAGACAGAGTTTCTCTGTGTAGCCCTGGCTGTCCTGCTGTCCTGGAACTCACTCTGTAGACCAGGCTGGCCTCAAACTCAGAAATCTGCCTGCCTCCCAAGTGCTGGGATTAAAGGTGTGCGCCACCTCCGCCTGGTGAGACCATTTTTTAAAGACAGTTTTCTATATACACCCCAAGACAGCATACTGGTTTTGAATTGGTGTTTTGATGGCCTTGGCAGGGAGGTTTAAATTGAGATTTAATAGGTTATTTACCCACTGGGTTATGATGAATGCAAAGAGGGCTGCTTTAAGATACACTTTCATGGAGTTCTGAGACTCTCCTTGCTAAAAGATTGTTGGTCTTCTTGAACCTGGTCACCATGGCTTACTGCATTTTCCTTGATGCATTTCACTGTTGCAGGCTGACACTTGCTTGTGGTGGGATAGCTCTGAATTCCTTTGATGACCTGAGTCCTGACTGTTTGGGACATGCGGGGCTTGTCTATGAGTATACACTGGTAAGTGTTTTCTTCCTAAAACAGGTAGTATTTCGTTTGTCAGTGGTTGAGTAGGAAACTTTAAACTCAAAATTAGATTCTTCTTAACAGTTTTTTTGGATTTGAGGGGTTGGTTGGTTGGTTGTTTTTAGACAGGGTCTCTATACTGCATGGGCTAGCCTGGAACTCAACTGTATGGGTCTTTCACTGAGTTGAATCGAGGTAACTTGTAGGAACATGGGTGGAGGGTTATTCACTGGACATGGGCAACTCTTGCTAGTTACTACACCATTTTAAAAATAACTTCCTCATACATTTTGGTATGTTTATGTACAATGTAAGGTGGCTTTTTAAATTTCTTTTGCACCTTGAATTGCTTCCCCCCTTCAGCTTTTCTTTAATGGGATGATGTGGTTTCTTATTATACTACTGACTCTTCATACACCCCTCCTGGTTCTCTTTGCATAATATTTGTATTTGTTGGGTTTGTGTTAAGATAAGGTTTTACTGGCCTTGGAACTCACAGCGACCCACCTGCCTCTGCTTTCCAAGTCAAGGGGTTAGAAGTATGCACCATCATGTCTGTGGGTAACCTGTTTTTGACAATAATTTCTCTTCTACACAGGGTGAGGAGAAGTTCACCTTTATTGAGAAGTGTAACAATCCTCGTTCTGTCACTTTACTGGTTAAAGGACCAAATAAGCACACGCTGACTCAGATCAAGGATGCAATAAGAGATGGCTTGAGAGCTGTCAAAAATGCTATTGATGATGGTAAGAACCACTCGGTATTTGAGTTTTGTTCTTGTTGCTAGTCTAAAAAGCATGGCTGAATACTGTGTTCTTTAGTCAGTAATTTACACAGCCAGACACCATGCAAAAGTAAAGTCTTCCTTTAAGATATCAGTTGATATGCTATATTTTATGGTATATCATTACTAAAAGTGAGTACAAATAAGTGGCTAAGGCTGTTAGTTCCCAAGCTACTGATTACTGTTGTGGTAAGGTTGGACCCCTTTGCTTTTGGCTATTGATTGCTTGTACTGTGGCTTAAGAAGCAAGTCTGTGCCAGGGGTATTGCCTGGAGGTAGAGCACCTGCCTAATGTATCTGAGACCTCTACCTCTATCTCTGTTACTGCAAAAACAGACCGGGTGTATCTGTAATCACAAGCATGTCAAATTCATAAGTTAATTGCCTAATAATAATATTTCATCTTAAAATGAAATATTAACTGTTGTCTCTTTTTGTTTTATTTTGTAGTTGGTAAGTTTTGTCTCTGTAACAGCCTTTTCTCCTTCCCCTGCCCAACAGGCTGTGTTGTCCCGGGTGCAGGCGCAGTAGAAGTGGCTCTGGCAGAAGCACTGATTAAATACAAGCCCAGTGTGAAGGGCAGGGCTCAGCTTGGAGTCCAGGCGTTTGCAGACGCCTTGCTCATCATTCCCAAGGTTTGAATGCTCATTTAAATCTTAGTTTTCCTGACAGCATGTAGCTATGGTCAGTTGTAAACATTAGTTCCTACAGCAGAAAATTAGCCAGTTGTGGTGGCAAGTGCCTTTAATCCTGGCATTTGTGAGGTAGAGGCAGGTAGATTTCAGCCAGCCCGCTTTATATAGTGAATCTCATGCCAGCCAAGGGTATTTATAGCAAGACAATACTTCTTCAGCCCTGAGTGGGTAGAATTTAAAAGAATAGCCACCCTATGGGACAGGCAAGCAGGAAATCCCTGCAGCTGTACAGGAGAGAAAAGGGAGAAAAGAAGAAACACAAATTAAGGACCATGTGCCAGGAAAGAAGGCTTAGTGGACTGATTAGCACAGCAGCGTGGCACCAGCAAACCACTGCCTAGATCAGTTGTTATTGGTGTCTATTAGGTACTCATTAAAGGTTAGGGTTTATGAACAGTGCTTTAATTTACTAGGTTTGGGGTGTATTAGTGAGTCGGTCAACTATTCCTCTCTGCCTGTTGTTCAAAAAAGAATATGAATAATGGCTCTATCTTCAGTCAAAGCATGCAGCCCCACCCCTGTGTGGTGGGTAGGGGCAAGGAGGGGTGTGCTGTAGCACATGCATGGTCAGAAGACTGCTTCCAGGAAGGTTTTTTTTTTATTGGATGTTTTATTTACATTTCATATATTGTCCCCTTACCCCATCCCCCGCCCACCCAGGAACCCCCTATCCCCTCACCCTTCCTCCTGCTTCTCTGCGGATGTACCCCTACCTACCCCCCCACCTCCCCACCCTCCAATTCCCACCCTCTGGGGCGTCCAGCCTTCATGAGGCCAAGGATCTCTTCTCCCACCTATGCCCAGCAGGGTCCTCCACTCTTACGTATACACCTGAAGCCATGGATCCCTCCCTAAGTGCTCCCAGGCTGGTGGTTTAGACCCTGGGAGCTGTGGTTGGTTGGTATTGTTGCTCTCCTCATGGAGAGCCACAAACCCTTTCAGCTCCAATGGTCTTCACTCTAACTCCTCCATTGGGAACCCCATGATCAGTTCAATGGTTATCTGTGAGCATCTGCCTCTGAATATGTCAGACTCTTGCAGACCTCTAAGGAGACATCCATATCAGGCTCTTATCATCATGCACTTCCTGACATCCACATCAGCATGTACCTTTGGTGACTGCACATGGGATGCATACTAAGGTGGAATGGTCTTCAGATGGCCCCTCCTTCAGTTTCTGTCCCTCACTTTGTCTCCATATTTGCTCCCGGAGAGCTTTTTAATGATTGGAAATACTGTTCATTTATTCTGCTTTAATCCTCAATTCTCAGTGTGTCTTTTCAAGAATTAATTTGTTCTCTAGGTTCTTGCGCAGAACTCTGGTTTTGACCTTCAGGAAACATTAGTTAAAGTTCAAGCTGAACATTCAGAATCCGGTCAGCTTGTAGGTGTGGATCTGAGCACAGGTGAGAATACTGCAGCTCCTTTGTGGAGTAAAACTAGATGGGGGTGAAGCTGGGGAGGAAAAGGTGGGTGGCAGGAGGACCTTAGTACTAGTGCTGTGTGGAAAGCAGAACGCCTATGTCAGTACTCAGTAGAAGACATTTGCAAATGAGGGAAGTCAAGAACACACGTAATGTGTGTCAACAACAGCAGGGTGTCCCGAGCAGAGAGTGTGCAAACGTCTGGTAAGCAGTGAGCTTTTCTTGACTGTAAGTCATTACTAAGACGAGATCAGCCACACATCAAACTGGATAGGAGCAGTGATTGGAGGACTCTTGGTTACTAATGTGGTCAGGGGTTAGCCACACTGTTCCTTTGTATTTAAAGACCCTGAGGCCAACATGGTGCAGCCTGTGGACTGCAGCCAGGATGCTGTCTTGAGGTGTATATAGAAAACTGTCTTAAAAAAATGGTCTCGCCGGTCAGTGGTGGCGCACGCCTTTAATTCCAGCACTTGGGAGGCAGAGACAGGCAGATTTCTGAGTTCAAGGCCATCCTAGTCTACAGAGTGAGTTTCAGGACAGCCAGGACTACACAGAGAGACCCAGTCTTGAAAAAACAAAAGAAAAAAAAATGGTCTTAGTTGGCGCGTGTTTTCTCTTTTAGAATTGGTAGGGTCTGTAAAACAAAGTGTTTTCTTGAAAAAAGCCTTTGGTGCTCTGGTTATTTGCAGGTGAGCCGATGGTGGCCGCAGAAATGGGTGTGTGGGATAACTACTGTGTGAAGAAGCAGCTGCTTCACTCCTGGTGAGTTTGAACTCACGAGATTGCTCTTGGCAAGACACACAGCAGTTTGGGTTGAAATCTGAGCTGTCCTCTTTTCCTCCCTTTCAGTACTGTGATCGCCACCAACATTCTCCTGGTCGACGAGATCATGAGAGCTGGGATGTCCTCTCTGAAGGGCTGAAGATCGGCCTGTGGTGCTGCAGAATATTGGGGGATGGTTATTTTTATCCAAGCTTCAAGAATTTTCTCTACCCGACTGGAGAAAAGGAACAGGACATTTGGCACCTATTCAAATTATAATACTGTAAAATTTTATTTTACTTTTTTTTTTTTTTGCATTGAGTGTCTGAACACACTCAAGCAGGTCTTTTTAAACCCACTGAACAAGATGTTTTAGTTACAGTGATACAAAATTTACATAAGATAAGCGTGTTGTCTCCCTTGTTCCTTAAGTGTTCTTTGAAAATTTACAATGGTTTTCTCCTGAATAGGCATGGTGGTGCGTGCCTGTAAGCCTGCCACTTTGGAAATAAAGTCAGGGAGTTCTGTGACAGCTCAGGCTACAGGAGACCACAGATCAAAAGAATAATTTTGTTGTTGTGGATGTATTTGAAATTATCCAGCCAACTCCTGTTAAACATGTAAGAAGATTCTTGCCAGTGTAAAACACATCTGGGTAATTTATGGGTTTCATAGTGTCTCTAATAAATACTTAAGAGTGATGACTGGGTCATACACACTTGAAATAACTGCTAAAATGCTTCGGAAAAGCTAATAAAGCCAGGTTACTACATGGAGGATGGAGGGTCGGAATCCTGCAGCCCAGCCTCTCCAGACAGCATGGAAACAAGAGGCAGGAGCAGTTTCAAATCTAACAGCCAAAGGAAAGATGGTTGAAGAGTAAGGGCTTTAGTGAAACACGTTTAGGCTATTTTCTTTTGCATCATACTTGTCATAGCTATTTCTCACCTCAATTTTCCTTTTTTTTTTTAATCTAATGTATGTGTGCTCTGCTACATATATATCTGCCTGCTTGAGGAGGACATCAGACCTCCCTACAGATGGTTCTGAGCCACCATGTGGTTGCTGGGAATTGAACTCATGACCTCTGGAAGAGCAACCAGTGCTCGTAGCCACGGAGCCATTTCACCAGCCCTCCTTTTATGTGTTTGATATCTGGAGAAAAAGGGGGCTGTCTTGGTATTCCACAGTGAGCGAAATAAAAATTTGAAAGCTGGCCGGGCGATGGTGGCGCACGCCTTTAATCCCAGCACTTGGGAGGCAGAGGCAGGCGGATTTCTGAGTTCAAGGCCAGCCTGGTCTACAGAGTGAGTTCCAGGACAGCCAGGGCTATACAGAGAAACCCTGTCTCGAAAAACCAAAAAAAAAAAAAAATTTGAAAGCTGGTTTTGTGTTAAGATCAAGTGAACAGAGGGAGACATCTGAGTTGAAAGATGGCTCAGCTACTTAAAGTACTTGTTTGGGCAGCCTGGCAGTTCAGTCCACCACCATGGGCAGCTTCTGGCCAGCAGAGGCTGCAGCGCGCTGGGCGTGCAAGGGCTCATTAGCATCACACAAGTGTTCAGAATAGATAAAATCTGAGTGATCCGGACGGTTGTGGGCATGTGTTAACTTTGTTCGTGGGCGGGCCCTACAGGAAAGCTCCCAGGAGTGCCCTGCCATTGGTCACTAAGTCGGCGCTTATCAAGTGCGCAGGCGCGAAGAAGTCCCGAGAACACGCATGCGCGTTCTGACTTCTGGCGCTTCAGAATGGGTTCCCGGTTTCCTCTCCTGTTGCTGCTGTGGCTCCTGTCCAACCCCAGGCTTCAGTTAGGTCAGTGTGTGGCCCTGTGCCTATATCTCCCATCCCTGAGCACCTGAAAGTGACTATATCCTGTATTCTAGATGCTGCTCCCCCCGCCTCGGAAGGTTTTTGGGGCTGGGGCTGGCCACCATGAAACTGCGCCTTTTTTTTTTTTTTTTTTTAAAGCAGGGTCTCCTCTGGTGTGCGCCCTGCCTGGGGCATTGAGATTAAGGCATTCTGGTTTTCCTTTTCTTCCTTTCTCACTTCCCTGTCTTGAGCTGGTGCACTCGTGTGATACATACATAGCTCAAGATACACTTAAGTTACATACACAGAAATCCGATGTCATTTTCCACCTTACAACTAACAGTACCCAGTATTGTCTGGTTAAGTGCACCTTTTTCTCTTGTTATTTTTGGATTAAGTTTTTCTTAGAATATTTTATGTGTATGAGTGTTTTGCCTCCTCGTATGTATG